CTCTAAATAAATAGCTCAAATTAATATTTCTATTATCCTCTCTGTTACCAAAAATAACTTGTTTTTAAAACATATGATTTTGATTGTCTATAGGCAACAGAGAATTATAAAACTAAGCAAACATTACCTGCTTCTTATTATTATGGTCTCACATTCTTAGAAAACACAACTTCTTATACACTAACGATTGTATCAAAGGGGCCAGGGATTTAGCTCAGTGGTTTTGCCGCCTGCTACGCAAGTGGACCCGAGTTCCATCCCCGGTACCCAAAAAAAAAAGATCGTATCAAATAAATGAAGAGGAGAAAATTGATTGTAGAGATAGAAACAATACTACATAATCATGAATTTGTTGAACAAGTATTATGCAGAGCGAGTGAGTGTGAACTAGGTGTTTATCTATCTCATGACATCAAATGTTGCTCTCTGTTTATATTGGATCTTGCATGTTCATTCTGTCATGGGTGAGGTGGAAAGCCCTGGTTCGTGTCCCATTTTTACTCACTTCCTGTGACCTGCCTCCCGCCACAGCCTGACTCTGCCTCCTCTGTCAGTCTCAACACTTATGTCTTCCACTGTCTGAAAATCCTTTGTCCAAACTGTTACCCTGCCCTACAACACAGTCAGTCCCTTTTGTTATGAAATAGGGATAACAATACTTAGCTCTCAGGATTGTGGTGAGGATGAAACACCATTAGGCTTATAATGTGCCTTGAATTGGTAGACTGTGGATAAATGTAGCTGCCATAATTTATTACTATCATCATCATTATTATTATTATTAGACACTGCTTTCTGGGTTTCAAAACAGACCTTATTTCCCAAGATTACCACTCTGCAGTATTTTATTATTGTTAAGCTGTAAGTGGATGACCTTGAAATAGTCACGGAAGCTGAGTGAACCCTGATTATAGTCTAGATTACTGTGGTAATCAAGTACAATGAACAACACAATTAATCTGGCACATATTTAATGATATGCATGATCATTATTGTGCCATATGGTAATTTGACATAAGTGGTAAATTGTTCGCGTAAATGATATTAATCAGAGTTACTTTTACACAGCTAAAACAAACATGGGGAAGGGAGGACGCTGGCAGGAGGAAACTAGGCTTTGCCATCAGATTGTTTTTCTGTGGTGAAGTGTTCCTGAGAACCCATAGGATTCAGTAAGAACCAGACTGGATCACAGAGGATTTGTGGGCAGTGGGGTGTCTTCAGATTGTTTGCTGGATTTGAAAGGAGCCAGCCCCGTGAACCAGCAGGGGGCAGGGTGGGGATGCCTGGGAGCCCTGGGCCCTGTGATGGAGGTTTTGCTGCTCTTTTCAGAGGCCGGTGGAGACCACAGGTCACGGCCCCAGAAGCAGGTAACCTGGTGCCTCAGGAATCTCTCAGCTGAGCTTTTGCCACGGCCGACACCTCTACACACACACACACACACACACACACACACACACACACACACACTTTAAAATATGTTCCACCTTTGTATGTTTTCATTGTTCCTAGAAGAAAAATTAAATAGAACAT